CATTGAGGTAATCGGTGACAACAAAATGGCTGGAGGAGTAATGGTGAGGAGCTTGTCGAGAACAGAGACGAGTCACGGCCCTTGGATGAAGCGGGATAGCGAAAGCTACTTGGTGTTTGCTTTTTTGTTAGTGTCGGACCAACACCCCGACGTAATATCCAGGGGGAGGACACAGTTGTATGCGGCCTGGGAAGGGAAAAAAAAAAAAACAGCTCGGCAGAGGCTGATTATTCAGATCGATCAAGGTAGAAACCACAGATGTGGGATTGGTCCAAGGCCGAGGGGGCGTGAGAAGGGACGGGCTGACGTCGGTTTCTTTTCTGCGCGAGTTGTAGTTTTGGCTGCAGTGTCCCCGGCGGTGCACTGGTGACCGGGGGCAGAGAGATGAATAAGGGGAGGGCTTGCGACGAAGGAAGTTTTGGGGCAACGTGGAGTCGCCGACTATGAAGAAGGCAACAGCGACTCGCGAGCGGAGAGGACTGATGGTTGAGCGAGTTGGCTCAGTTGAACAGTTGAAGACGAAACGCTCAAGCTCGGGGACCAGAGGCAGCTAACTGGCGAGACCGCGATGAGCCGCCGGAGTCGAACGTAGCCACGAAGCAGACGAGCAAACAGGACATGAGCCAGCGGCCAGGGATGATGGGATGGAGGGGCTTGGTCTTTATGCACCTCGACGCAGAGTCCAGAGTCCAGAGCCCACGCAGATGCGCCTCCGTCAAATGTACGGCAACAAAGAGGGCAGGCACGCGGGTCACAGAGGCGTGGTCCACCTCCAAGACAACCCTCGTCTGAGCCGCTGCGTTAATCTCGTCAGTGGTCTGCAGAGCCGCAGCAGTGTGTTGAACCCCTGTTTAATTGCTGCTTCGGGCAGCGTGTTCGTGGGCTACTGGTTAATGTCATGATGCCATCATTTATTAACCGTGGCCGTCTGAACCTCCACAGCCGAGAGCGACTACTCCAAACGGCTGCCCATGGCCGCAACCCAAGGCAGGCACGACCCCCCTTCGCCGCACTCGTCTTGTTTCTCGACTCTTAATACTGTCAGACATGCGTGACGAGCGACCAGACGTGGCAGGCACGAGGCAGCCTCCACTGGACGACTCACAAGGTTGGGAAAAGGAAAACTGTCCGTCCAAAGTCAGCACCAAGACGCAACAACCAAAATGAATCCATCCTCACCACGGTTCGAGCTCAGACCGACTGTCGCAGTCCGCCACCGGGCCAGGTCCCACCGCCATCCTGGCCCGTTGCCCCTTGTCGGCCCATGTCAGGCTTCGGCAGGTCAATCCCACCAGATGGCGGATGAGCCGGCGTCTTTCCAATCAACAGCCTTCCTTTCTCGCGCCTACTTGATTTCCTCTGGCCGCTGCAACGGACGACGACGGCGCCAAGCACAAGACTCAACTGGAGTACTCCGTATGACTGCTTGTACCATTACCGTCCAAGACTCCGTATCCGACCTGCCTACCACCCGTTTTGCTTCTCTTATTTTGCCGCTGAATGGGGGAGTAGTGTAGCTGCCAACAAGTTACTCGCTCAAACAGGCAGACCAGATCACTTACTGGGCTAGGCGGTGCGGAATTTCGACTCACCACCATACTCCGTACCATGTCCAGGAAAGATTGTCGAGTTTTGCCAGGCACCGCGGGCGGAGCCAGGAGCATCGACAGAGACAGAAAACGAAACTTAGCAGCTTGCCAGCTTCGTCATGTTGTCTTGTCTCGCTCTCCACTCGCCTATCTGGATGTCTTTCTCAACGCCCAGGGTCATGGTAAAACTATTTCCATTGCTCGGTACACGGGGCAGGGTGAAGCCGACGGCTGGCCTCTGTCTTTGGAGCAGGCCCTCGCGTCATTAGTTTTCGGCACAGACCCCTTTCCTCCACGGCTAATTTAGAGGATGCAGCCCGATTATGCCATCCCGCTGTGAACGACCCGAGCCGTCCGCCGCCGCCGCCGCCGCCGCCGCAGCCATATACGGTAGCGCGTGCTCTCGGTGACCTGTCGCCCCTGAACGAGTCGCTCTCCAAAGGCAGTGCAAGGTTCCATTCGGAGTCTGCTTTAGTTCAGAGGGTGCCATGTCATTGTGTTCCGAGAACCATGAGCGAGACGTCAACGGTTTTAGACCGGTGCATGGCCTGTTGATCAGCTTGATCCTGATTACGGATTACTCTCTGGCCATATGGTGGGGCCGGCCATATCCTTGTGTGACGCTGTGTGGGACGAACGCACCAAGATTGGCGCTGTAGACACCAGTCGACATTATGGAAGCCAAAACTGCCCTCCTCGCCCGTGTACAGCATTAATCTCTTGCCAGCATGCGCCTTCATAGCAGTATGGCTGCCGTGCCCAACGAGTGGTCGGCTTTGTCCACAAATGAACGCAGGTGCCCGCAATTATTACCAGCTCCGTTCTCGCGCCGACCCGAGAAAAGCGACATGGAAGCAGGTTCGAAGCATATGGCGACTATAAAGATGTCTCGTGGCTGTCTAGCTAGTTACAACGTAACGCCACTTGCCTTTCTCAATATATACACTAACAATTGGAGCAGTACAGAATATTGTACGACGTCGTACCTCTGTAAATGAGGGATCGCCATGTCCCTTGTCTCGCCATTGTCCCCACTGTAGGCACTTCACCGTGGCTTTCATCGTCCTACCTAGGGACGCAATTCTCTTCCTTGGACCAACAAGGGGATACGTGCGGGGCAATGATGGAACGCGCAGGAGGTCCCCCTTTCTTCTGGAACGTTTCGCATACGACCATCTGGTTCGTGGCCGGGGCAAGAAAGACAAACAGTTCTTCCAACCCCATAGCTCTATTTGACTGTCAACTCACGAGTGCAGGATCGGATACCTTCCGGCATGGCACAGGTGACGAAATACCGAATCGACGGAGCCCTTTACCGGTAGTCTCGTTGAGTTTTGGGTTCGAAGACTCTCCACTACTTTAACCGTAAGGCTTGGGTTAAGAAGACGCCGGCCGCAGGATTAAGCCGCCGTTGTAGTCAATGCTTGTTGCTGCACGATTGGCGTCGGTGGGAAAGTGGTTCGGAAACCCATGCCGTCGGCTGTCTCGTTTGCCTTTTTCCCTCGTCGGCGACAGTTCCGGCCAACGTACAAACCCACAGAGTACACGAGTCAGCTTATATCCACCGTGGTGCAGGTCCTGTCCTAGTCGACGGTTGGTGCATCGTTTGCATGGGTGGTGCTCAACAAGGCTCAAGAGGGTGAAGGCGAGGCGCGCACACGTCTAGACTGACTGCCATTATTAGCCTATGTGAGAATTCAAACTTCAGGCCCAGATCAACATCAAGATACGTGGATATGCCCCTCGACATGCCCCTATAACTGCCCTCCACCCTGGATACTTGGGCGTCTCCCACCAAGGCAGCGTGTCCTGACCAGTAGTTCTCTGGCAGCCATCAGGCTGGCAAAATTCTGATTCTACGGCGTATGTTCTTTGCCAGCAACGACTGTTGTTCACGCAAAACACAAGGGCGCACAGCACCCTAGTGTTTGCGGAACAATCTGCCCTGTGTAACATGTCAGGTTCGTCACATGGGCTCTCGTATTTACAAAGGTAAGTAGGGGTCGTTGGAATCAAGCGAGACCCTGTCATTGTCATCAAAGCTGCTTGGGTCGTGCCGTAGGTGGTGGAGAGGAGAGTCTGCCCAGCTCACCAACTGCAGGCGATAATCGGCATGGATAATGGACGTGTGATGCAGACGCCAGTACGGAGTAGGCGTTTGAAGTCTGCAGGTCAGGAAATGCAAGTCATCACCGTTGCCTGCATCCAGCTGTCCCTGGCTCGATGCAAGGCTCACCTGCATGTCGCAGAGCGCCAACGCTGTCAATGTGTGTGCATTGTACGTATGACAGTATAGTTTAGTACAGTCTCTATCTGACACGACACGACTCACCCTGTTTTGTCTGTCACGAAGCACACATGGACTGATCACGTCTAGGATTCGGAGTGCCGTCACGACTCACCATATCCCGAGATGATAGCCAGACTTGTTGTTGTCCGGATTGGTCAACACGCAACAAATGCGTCCATGGGTGTGCTCGTGATGCCGAATCGCGACACAAACATGGGCCCTGGTTCTTTTGCGACTCCCCGGTTCGAGGACGGCACGTCCCCGGAAATGTGACGAGACACGATGCCCCGTCGTCGATGCGTCCGTCCGTCCCCCGTCCCAACCGTCCCAACCCAGCCGGGTTGTTGTCCTCCCCAGTCCTTCTCCTTCGGTGGACCATCGACTCTCCCGCTGCGCCTGGTCTTGGACTAGTTATAATCCATGAAACTGCATTAGACTGACTGCCCATGCAGCTGACGGCGACTTCGACATGCACGTCACGCCCGGCAGACTCGGCGTGTTCAGGCTGGCATGGCAACCAACTCCGAACCAAGTCCCTCGGCTCTGCTGCTGGCCGCGGTTATTGGTACGGAACAAACCAACCGAGCCGGTCGTCTTGCGAGACGGGACTTGCTGCTAGTCGCCGTTCTGCTGGTACTAGTAGTTACGTCTCATCTCCTCAAACCCTGGAAGGAGGACCTGGCCCACGACGTGGAGAAACGAAACGGATCTGATTTTCAAGTCTTGAGTATTTTTAGATGCTCAACCACGGACACTGAGCTGAGCAATTTGTATTCCAGTCGGTTTCGGAAGGGGCAAAAAAAAGAAGAAGAAAAAAAGAGAGAGAGAGAGGAAACCTGGCTACACGTGACCACCATGACGACATTCAAACAGCATCGACATGGCCCTCGAAGAGCCGGGGGGCGCTCGGTAACAACAGCCCAAGAATCATCACCATGACCCGCGAACCAATGATTCGTCGTATATTTCATTACCAAGCTCTACATGCTGCATTCCATGCTGGGCACTCCCCGTGTCTCATCGAGGCGCGTGCCTGGTCACTGTTTCTTCAACAGCCGCGCCTCCCAGAGCCGCCGACAGCTCTGCTGCTTCAAAAGAAAAAGGCGCCCACCCATCCGTCATCACCGCCGCATGCTCCCAATGAGCTCCCTCTGCGCCTCGCGATCTCGAGCCCCGTCGCTCAGGCTCCCCACGCTCCGCAGGTCGCCGACCACATCCTTTGCCTTGCCAAAGTACACCTCCTGCAGCAGGTTGCGCATCTTGAGCTCCATGTCCTCGACGAGCCGGCCCACGTTGGCAATGTGACTGTCGTCGCCGTCGACGGGCAGGTCGTGCTCCACCTGGCGCGTCATGTTGCCGCTGAGGTCCATGTCGCCGAGGGTGCTGTCGGCCGTCGCCAGGGACAGAATCACCGTAGACGTGACCTTGTAGTGCGTCGTGCGCCCCCGCTCAATCGCCTCGAAGACGTGGATCGAGTCCCATACCCCTTGGGTCGTGCCGCCCGGAGTGGCGGCTACCAGGCAGGCGGCAGGCGGCAAGCGGTCAGCAACGAGGCGTCGCTCGAGGGTTCCGTAGCACGTGGTGTACGTGTACGTGTGCAACTAAAAAGGGTACGAAACAAGGAGAGCAGAAGGAAGCAAGGGGAAGCCAGGAAGCCACGCCAAAGACTCACACTTCTTCAACAAGACGACGCCGGCAAACCCGTCGTCCAGATTCCAGAGGTACACACTGCTCACGCCGCCCTCGTAGTACAGGTCTCGGTAGACGTCAAAGGCCTCGTTGGCCTTGACCTCCATCTTCCTCACGCGCTCGCTGGGGATGGCGCCCTCGCCGGCGCCGTCGTTGCCGTCGGCCCCGACGCCCCCCGCGCCGGCCTCGTCGAGCGGCGGGTCGAACTGGTTCGACCACGGGGAGCGGTGGCTGTCGCCGTCGCGGTTGTAGTCGCACAGGAGGTACTCGCGGCCGGACTGCCTGCAGCGCCGCACCGCGAGCGGCTGGTCCACCGACGAGAGCAGGTCCTCCGTCAGCTCGGGCGCCAGGGAGATGATGGCGCCGAGGTGCGAGGCCGTGTGTTTGGGGTCGAGGCGCCGCAGGAGGTCGCTGGAGGGGCGGTCGTCAGTGAAACGGTCAACGGCGTCGTGCCAGCAGGCCGCGGGAGAGGGGATGGATACGCACAGCGCCGAGTCGAAGGGGTCCATCTCAGCCATGGTCAAGACGGGCCGTGACGAATGATGCAGGTTGCGAGAAGCTCGCCCTCGGCCCTCGGCCCTTGGCCCTTGGACTTTGACCTGGGGCGCGGGGGGGGGAGCGCCCCACCCGAGCTTTGTCGCATCGACCGACCGACCGACCGACCGACCGACCGACCGACTCGCCGACAGAACAAAACTGATCGACTTGGACATGACTCCATCACCGTGCTGCCCTCGCCTTGCCTGCGGTGCCAGAAGTCCCGCGGCGTAGGACACGGCCGGCGGACAAGTCTCTGTCCACCCGCTCCGTGCCCGAGGAGACAGAAGACGTTGCTCTGCTGGCACCGTCGCGACAGAACAAGCAAAGCATGTGGCTGGCCTCGAGGCTCGACCCCTCCGCATCTATTAATAGCAGCGCAGACGGTTCTATTTCGACTCGGAACTACTCTCAGACACGTACATCCGTCCAGTCATCCAAAAATCGACTCCAGGCACACAGCTCTAGAATCCAAGCAAGCAATACTCCTCGCCGTAAATGGTTGTTTGAGAGGGGAAAAAAAAAAGCAACCATAACAAAATACAGCAAAACAGCCAAAACCCCGAAGGAAAACACTGACCCAACGCCATGCCTGCCTGCCCCTGTATGCATCCAGCATCAAGCAGCCAACGCCCCCCAAGGCTCGCAAATCAGTCATATCCGATACGTCTCCTCAAAGACAAGAAGGAACGAAAGAAAAAAAAAAGGCCGGACAAATGGAAAGAACCCAAGATGCGCGCGCGCAATCTCACCCTCCTGCCCGTGACAATCCTCCTCGGTGTTGGCTGCCTTCATGCTCACACCCCTCACACTGTCTGCTTTGTTGCCCAAAATGTACCCGTAGCCCGACCCGGCAAAAATGCAATATGTACTGCCGCAGAATGAGGGTCGGCAGCCATGGCAGAGACTGTCGTACGGGATTGAAGCGGGCCAGATGCCCGGGTGGCATTGCTGCGTACCATGCCGCTCGGTTCGGTTCTGCTTGTGTGCCACGGTGACCCCGACGGGAAGAGGCGGTGGGTTCTCCCCTTGTCCCTTTTTTTTCCCCTTTTCGAGAGAAAATAAAGATAGACAAACAAAAGGCCAAGACTCATCAGTCAATCATCCTGCGGCAAACCAGACACTGTGCACGCTCCGTCCACGTTCGGTCCCCGCCTCCAGCGTTGGCTCTCAGATCACTTATTACCCAAACCATTGGCCCGTCGTTCATCTTTAAGCTCGCCTCAAACAGCCCCTCGTATGGCTTGTCCTGGATTGCCTTCTTTCCCCGCCCCTTCTTCGCAGACGCCGACTTTGCGCTCCTGGGGCCGACCGAGTTGGGCGGCCCGGGGGTGGGCGTTTGTGTCGGGCCCTTTGGCGTGCTCTCGCTGGTTCGGCCGCCAGCTGCATGATTTCCGTTCTCGCTCGGTCCCTTGACGTCGATGGCCGGCGGCGTGCGCTCCATCTTGCTCTCCGTCGGCGTCAGCGGACCACGTACGTCCTCGTCCATCTCCCTCTCCGTCTTGACCAGTTTTTTTTCCGCCTTGTCGGAAATGTGCGGCTTGTCGGTCCCCAGACGCTCGTAGATGCGCAGTAGACTGTCGTGTAGCAGGCACTCGTAGTGAAGCCATTGGCCGCAATCTGCGTTGGTGCAGCCGATCAAGGTCTTGTCTGGGTTCGCCGGGGTCTGGCATTTGCAAGTCAAATCGACCGACTGTTTCGGGAAGGGTCAGCATCAAACCATGACTTCGTGCGAGGCCGAAAAGGAATGCCGTGCATACAGATACCTGCGACGTCCGGCAATTGAACGCCTGCCGCCAGTACAGCGCATCCTGCACCTCCTCGTCATCCGACTCGATCCACTGATGAACCGTGGCCTTCATCGCCACACTGACAACGTTGATGACGTCCACTGTTGAGCCACGTCAGCACAGAATGCATTTCGAGGGCGTGCGAGAACGAGCCGCGCCTTACTGTGATTCGACGCGATCAGTTCGTTCTGGCCGTGATAAGGCTGGCGGCCGCTGATGGTCTTCTTGCCGTCCTGGGTTCCGGGCGGCAGCTCGTCGGGAGAGTACATCCAGTAGATGCGCGCGTATACGTGATGTTCATCAGCGGCCCGGACCTCGAGAATCCGGGCAACCCAGTAGTCGTTTGACTGCAGCAAGTTTCCCGCGTCCGCGTTTTTGCCCGTCGATTTTTGGCGCTCAATGGTGGCCTCGTTTGCGACGTAGATGAAATCGTCGTTGCAGTACTTGTAGCCATTCACTAGTGGACAAGAGGCAAAGCTGGTAAGCAAACAAGCGGCTTGCCTTTGCGCAGGGCGGCGCCGGCGGGAAAACGGGAGCAACGAGTGCAGGTGGCGTCGCGGGGTCTTGACTCACAGACGAAGCTATTATATCGTGTCATGTCCTGCCAGCGCTTCCGTGGCTCGACGGTGTAGGCGAGATTCATGGACTGGTTGGACCTGAACTTGCCCCGGGGCTCAAAGGGTGACATCTGGACCAGCTCCCTTTTGTGGTTGTTGGGAGCCGGGCCGTCTTCGTGGGCGTCGCGCTTCCTCTTCTTGGCTATGTGGTCGCGATCCTCGGCGCTGGGAGCAGTGACCATGGTGATGGTAAAGGGACAATCGGCGCGGTTCTCGTCCGTGACGGCACGGGAGCGCCTTCGAGATTTGGAGCTCATGATGGGCGGTGGCTGGAGGGGATGAGGCAACAAAAGAGACGGGAAGCAGAAGGAGACCAAGCGCGGCGTCTGCGCGCCCGAGTTGATCAAAGAGCCGCGCGTGGGAAAAAAAAAAAACGCCGGTGTGGAGGTGGACGAGTGGGAGGGAGGTTATTCGCGACGCCGGTTGGGCCAAGCTGTACGGAATAATAAAAGGCGGGCGAGACCTCGAAGCTGACTGGCAAATGAACACGACGTGCAAAAATGCTGCCAGTCCGCCAAGAGAGGAGGGCAAGTGGGCGGCAGGCGGGCAGGCGGGCAGGCGGGCAGGCGGGCAGGTGGGCAGGCAGGCGCAGTGGGCAGACAGGCAGCGCCGAAGAACTACTTGGGAAGGAGGTGCCGCACGCAGTTGCCAAGCTGAGCTGCACAGGAGCGACCAAGTACACGGTACCAGGCACTGCTTGGCGTGGGCGACCCCGGACTGAGTCCTGGGCACTTTGCACCCGCATCCTCGGACTGGGTGGCAGCCAAGCCAGCTAACGACAATCTTCAAAATGTTAAAAACCTAAAAGTCAACTCGAGCAATAAAGTAGCCGGACCAGAGCCCAGCCCTGCTAGGCAGAACGGCCATCCAGGCGCCACATGTGCACAGGCAGCACCGGCACCGACACCCTACAAAGCCCCGAAACACCTCGCGACAAGCTGACCAACAGGGACCAGTCTAGCCGCGTGGGCGTTAGTCTGACCGACTCGCCGTAGAATATTCCCCGCGCTTCAATCTAGGCCTCGAGTCGAACCATGATACGGGTTGCCACATGGAAAGGAAGAAAGAAAAGAAAAGGGAAAAAAAAAAAAGGGCCTGCCTCTCGACCAACCAATTTCTCGCCAGGAACCAAGACGGACGAGAGACCAGGTGAAACGCCAGACGACGTCAGTCGATGGCATTGGTTGACCGTTTGCCAATAAATCACGTACTTGGCATGTTTCAAACACAGTCATGGCTGGGAAGAAGCTCGAGGCCGGCGCGGCCGAAACCAAGGCAGGACGCAGTACTAGTCATGTGCCTTGTTCTCATCCATTCCCTGGCCCTTTCTATACCAAACGTGCCCCCATCTGCAATCTATCTGTCAGATATCGTAGCCGCGATGATTCGCGGCGTAAATTCCGCCGTCCAGACAGCATTCGCCAGCCTCGATGCCGTATTGACAAGACCTCACAAGCTTCTGTCGTCATGTGCTTCATGTCCCCTCAACGCCATCGCTATGCAGTTGGTCCTACGAGACACATCGATAAATCCCAACATGAACAACATCCGCTTTTACTCCGCACACTGTGTCAAACATCCAAGTGATGAGCTAGCCAACATCCTCGTCCTCCACCAGATGTGCTCCTTGCGATACGCACACTTCTGAGCCCTCTATCTTGGCCGCCAGTCGCTCGCCCTCCTTCTTTCCTCTCTCGACATTGATTAACCATATCAACGGTGCTGGAAGACCAACCAACGCCCCCAGAAACCAGAACGCAGGCCGAATGCTGCCCGTCCGGTCGATGATCGCGCCGACTATGGTCGGCCCAAACACGCTCGATCCCTTGTCTGTGATGGCGTAGAGAGCGTAGAACGCCGCCTCGGACCCTGGGGGAATCAATTCTCCGTATAGCGAACGGCAGTAACTGCTCAGGCCGCCCATGACAAGGCCGTATATCGCTGCCAAGGGATACATCTCCCATGGCTGCTGGAGGCCGAGGACACCCCAATTCTTCACAAACGGGAGATAGCCCATGAGCCCATAGAGTGGTATCAGTTCAAAGAGAGCGATGCAGACCAAGATGGTCTGATGGGCTTGCAGCCCCAAGCCTCGTGAGACCATGGGCCACCCAAATGCGCCGAGTATTCCAGCCATGGTTGTAATGACGTTGATCATGCCCAACGCCCAGGGACGCATGTGTAATTGTGTCTTGGCGAATAAAATGGCGGTGCCAGAGGTGGTGGCAATGGCGTCCGAAAGTAAAAACCATCCTGCAAGGAACAGCATGATGTCTGCTAACCGTCTTGCTTGTTGGATGGTGCGGAAAAGAGACTTCCACGCATAAGTCAGGTAAGGAGTCCATCCAAATGCGCCTTTCCGTCCCGTCTCGACCAGTGGCGGTCCAGGTCTTGGTCGTAGCCACAGAGCTGGCGGGACGGTAAACACCGCCCACCAAGACCCGATGACGAAAAGGACCACCCTCTGAGACCACGTAGAGTTCTTCATGGTGAGTAGAATGCCAATGGACAGGCACTGGAGGAAAAGGGCGGCGATGTAGCCGATGCCCATGCCCTTGGCGGACATGCGCGAGGAGAGCTGAAGTTCGGTCGAAGTAAGTTCTTCGTGGGTTGGTACTCTTCGAAGTCGCGGACCCGACGCAGTGCTCTCGCCGGGCAAGAGCGGCGACGTTGCGTCCGTAGCATCGTCCCCCAGCGTGCCAACTGACTCATCGAGAGCTCTGGACTCTAGTGCAGAGTCGGCCAAGTCCGGCGTCGTTCCACGGCAAGCATTCAGCACCTCGGGATGATTCCGCACCAGTAGTGGCAAAAATGAATTTAAAAGCACAAACGACGCGCCAAAAGACGTATTGGAGAGGATGGTGAGAACAGCACCGAGGATGTAGTTCTCCCTGTTGATAAAGATGTAGCACATGACGGAGAAGGCGCCGAGCCAAGCAAAGGTCAAGAGGAGTTTCTTTCTGTAATGTCCATGATCGGCCGCACAACTGATGCTCACGACCAGGAGCGCTTGCAATAGAACGCTGACCGAGAAGGTGTACATTGCAAAACTGGCAGTGTTGATTTCGAGACCTAACACGTAGACGACGCATTGCCCGTCATCTCCGCCTTTGCTGTCGCTCGATCCGCACGGCTTCGTAGGGTCTGAAACCAGTACACCGTTTTCACGGGCCAAGGTTTCCAGGAGAATGGGAATGAATGAGCCTGTAGAGAGAGCCTAGTCAGCATTACAGAGATTGCTACTATTTGCAGTCACTGCAGGCACTGTCCCCGGCCACATGCAGATAACCCGCCCACGGCCGAACCACACACTGATATATGAGGCCGCATGTTGAACAAGCAACACCATTGCATTGCGTAGCAAGAGACCAGATACCAGACTTACCGATTCCACACACCACATACACCTCGGCCGCAAAGCCATACATGTACCAGCCAAGCAGTTCCTTTCCGCTGGTCGGTCGCGCATCATGCCCCGAGTAGCGAGGCGCCCCAATTGGGCGCCAATCGCTGTCACTGCTCCGCGGACTCATACTGCCGTCGGTCGAGGACCGCTCGTCATCGGCCTCGAAGTCGGACGTAAAGGAGCGGAAGGACTTTTTCGAGAGAATTGAAATTGCCGACCAATGTCGACGGCCTCGGAGATGTGGGCGGGCGGCATGGGCTCGTGAAGGCATCCCGGAGGGGAGGGAACCAGCTGGTACCCCGTGCGTGCTGTTGTTCCCTGGGAGCACGTGATTGATGAGTAGTAGTGGTACAGCCGAGCCAGGACTGGGTTGAGACGGCTCAACAGTGAACAACACTCAACACGCGCGTCGGGAGAATCCAACAAGCTGCTGCCAAAGACCCAAAGTGGATGGTGACTCGTGAGGCTACGAATGTCTTCCCGACGGAAGGAGCCAGAGTTCAAAGTGTAAAGCAAAGTGTGACGACGATGAGAATTCGGCGCAGCCCCAACCCCCACCGTGCACCACCGCGGCAGTGCTGGACCGAATCCCTCATCCGCCTCGCCTCGCACGCCAAGATATGCGCATTCGCATCTCAAAAAGGAATCGGCATGTCTCATGGTTCGACGGCTGGGAAAACTCAACCGGCCAAATCAACCGGTCCAGTCCCCCTCCCTCACTCGGGCAGTAATGGGCTGCATTCCCGCATCATGTGCGCTGCGGCGTGGACCATGGGATTGTGGACGGCATTTCCACGCTCCGTACTCCGTATTGTAGCAGCAACAGGCACAAGGGTCAAATGTACGTTGTCTCAAGTTACGGCCCCGCGAGGTTTTGCGCAACATCATGTTCGGGTACGGCCACAGCCAGCTTGTCTCGGGAGGGGAGGGAGGCACTTCCACCACGGAGGAAACTACTCCAGGTCTCCCGGGCGGGGTTCAGCACGGATGGCGGTGGGCGGGTTCTGAGGTTCCAAGTTTGCAGGGGCGAGTGAGTGTGTTGATCTCTCCTCCGTACTCGGGATATATTAAGTTATATCCACTCGACCTGACATGTTGACGTAGCTTGCTGACCCGGTGGCTGGGGGAAACACACCGCCAGCGGCTTTGCAATGTAACGGCGGTTGGCTTCAAGGTTGCTGAATAGGGCCGGTGCCAATGTAGACTGGCTCGTCAATCAGAATGCTAATTTCATTCCTGCCGCCGATGAGCTATCAAGCTTGGGGTGCTAGAGCAAGGTAAAAGATATAGGATATAGGATATAGATCATGATGTGTTATACAACGACGCACTTTAGCACCCCGCCGACATTCTGACCCTCTGACTTGGCTTGGATAGCATCTGCGATGGCACGCACTGGTCGGGTCACGGCCCCATCTTTCGGAAGAGACGCTGCCTCCCCCCGAGCATCCAAATATCCAGGACCTCACCTCATCTCTGGAAGGATGGCCAAGTCAACTACTAGGCAGCCCATTGCAACTCAGAGCACCGTAGTATAAGTGGCAGAACCCACGGTACTGTTGTCGCTTCAGGCCAGGCGGTACGAGGACGTCACGACTCACGACTCACGACTGCTCCCAACAGAACCCACGTCGGGCTCATATATCGTACTTGGTCATGAAAGAAGATGGATAAATGGCCGCAACAGTCGGGAAACGAAGCTGGATATCACCGTGAATTCAAGTTACGCAAACGAGCGCAAGAAAAAAGACCCGCCCCAAAAGTCACCCTCCGCCTCCACCTCCGCCTCTATCTTCTCATCGCAGCAAACAGCTTCTGCTTCAGCCGATCCGCCAAGCTCACGGGCGCCGCGTCGCTCTGCCCCGTCCTCGGCGCCGCCTTCTTGCCGTGCCCATTCGCGACGTGCTCGTTTCCCGCGCCCCCACGACCGGTGTGGTGGTCCTGGCCGTCCTGGCTCGCCCGGTACGCCGACTCGGGAACGACGTCCTTGTCCCTGCGAGCGCCAGGTGCGGAGCCAACGTCGCCGATATTCCCAGCCCCTCCTCGTCCAGTGCTGTACGCTCCGTCGTCGTGGCTGCCCTCGACCCCGGCACGCACGACTTCCCCGTCCACGTATTCCGTCTTGTCGGTGTTGATGTTGCCGGCGCCCCCTCGGCCGTGGGACACCTCGGCCGCCATGCTCGCTGTGTTTGTCGAGGGAGCACGGTACGTGGTGAACAAAAGACTCAAAAGCGTCGTGGCGTGCTTCTTTGTTGCCGAGGCTGGGGGTTGGAGCAGGATGCGAACTTGGAAATGGCCCGCAGGGACTCGGGGGGCCGAAAAAGAAACCTTGACGTCCGAGAAGGGAGGGAAACACATGTGCTGCTTCCCGCCCATGGTCATTAATAATTATTCAGCAGCTCCGATAAGGGTTCCCTAGTCATCTTTCAAAGGCCACCGTCATTGGACATGGCCGTTGAGTCGTAAGCTCCGTTACGTAGCTGAATTCGAGGTGGCCCGGGCAGCGTAGAGCTTATCTCTAGCCAAGTAGCCAACACTAGTCGGCTCTGGTTAATGACATGCTTCGGGTTATCGCGCACGTGGTTCTTCATCGTGCCGGGTATGCCCGATTACGAAAGTACCCTTTTTTGTTTTCCCCAAGTGTAAAGAATCGGGGTGCCACGGTCGGGAAATCTATCACTTCGATGCATGGTAATAATGAATTGCTGCACAAGAATGACGATGCCGTTTGTAGTACACAAACCCCCCTCCGGACGAGCGCGCCTCGGCAACCTATTTTCAACCGCCAAAACTCCAGATCGAAACACCCCCATGCATGCTCTAAATCTACTGCGCCATGCCCGCCCGTCCAACTTGGTATATTTCACCCGTCAACGCCTCATCCCCCCTGAGCACCGGCCACGAAGACCCATCTGCCTTTACAAGAGTGACCTCCAGCTTCGTCCCCAGGATCTTAAACGACGACTTGCTTGTGTCAATCGGTCCGTAGAGGGGCACGTCTGCTGTATATCGCTTCGGCGGGGAATCGCTCGTCATCAACTCGAGAGCAAGCTGTTTTTCTTGAAACTGAACCTTGGCGTTTTCCTTTTTGATTTTCTTGAGGAAAAAGGCGGCAATGACGCAGGTGGCAGTTTGGTAAAAGTCGTGCCTTGCGATTCAGGCCGTGTCAGAAGATAGTACTCCCCAGCACTAATAATGGACAGGGGACTGCGCGGCAGACATACCTGACTGTGCTCAATACCTCCTCCCCAGTGGGGTCCGCCTTGTCCCGGCCATGGTCCTTGTCCCTCTTCCCACTGCCAATGAACAGATGTCTATCCTTGGTCTTGCACCCTTCAATCTTCATGAACTGGTCAAACTCCAAGACTCTTCTCTTACAGCACGAATACCCCTTGCTGCCCTCGTGGAATATGGGCACACCGGGGTGGTGGACGCACGTTTCGCCCTCTCGCGAACTGCCTCTCTTGTATCTCTTCCCACAGGTCCGTCGGCGACATGTGCTTCCGTCGGGGATTTCCAAGCTCGGATCGTCATCGTCTGTTTCTGGAGCAGGCGGAGGAGGCGTAGGTACCGATTGAGGCGGCTGGATGGGCAGGCGGCTCGGCGTGGGCGTTGTGAGCACGTCGATTTTTCTGGCGAGCGAGGCCTCGTCTTCTTTGGGCTTTTCTTCGACGGGAGGAGGTATGTCGGTGGTGGAATGGGTGCCCGTTGTGCATGGTGGTATGGACATGAATTCGTCAAAGGTAAGGACGCGGGTCTTGCAGCATTTCCATCCTAATTCTGCTGTTAGCGTGGCAGCTTCATTGATACCTGAGAAAAGAGAATGCTCCATCAAAGAGGAGAGTTGTCGTGCCTTTTTGACCTTCGTGGAAGATCGGTGGACCGGGATGGTATTCACACTTCTCTGTAGCATCGGTGAAGTTCTTGCCACAACCTTGGTGGACACATTTCTGCGTCGTGGCCATGTTTTCTATTACCAACTTATGGACTGAGCCTCATGAGAAAGCAGGGAAGGGTCATCGGCTGTCAATGGAATCAAGACAACGAAAAAGCCGGCCTTGGAAACTTGATCAAGCAGGGCCTCTTGGCGGGGTGGGATGTTCTAGAAATACCGAGTCAACGGCGCCTCCGGCAAAGTCACCGCCTTCCCAGTTAGATGCGGGGTCGGCAAAGCTCCCGCTGCCCTACCTACTAGGTAACTACTTAGTTAACGTTACCTGGCGGTAGGAACGGAAGGAACGGTCATGCAGCGTTTAAACGAAGTCGTACATTCACACCTCTCCATTAGCAACACTACTGAGCAAGGCTAAGCATCAGCCAGAAATAGCAATGTTTGTCGCCAATCGCCTCTTGCAAGCCTGCAGAATCACATTTTTCACACGCGACAACTGCGGCCTCTGTGCGCAAGCAAAAGGCGTGTTATCTGACGTTTGGGACAAGCGGCCCTTCGCATACAAGGAGGTGAATCTGGCTTTGCCCGAGTCCAACCCCTGGAGGGAGCTTTACGACTTTGATATTCCAGTGGTGAGAACACGTCGTCTTATCCGACACTACTCCCTTCTGACATGGAGACTAGATACACATCAGCAAGGTCAACGCTGGCGAAGAAGAGGTCCACGCGGCCGGCAAGGCAGTCAAGTTGATGCACCGCTTCACCCCAGGACAGGTGGAAGCGAAAATGGACCAAGTCGAGAACAACTAGCTCGATTCGGCGTCACCGTCATCGCCACTGCCACGCAACTCAATCATTTTCCGGCCGGAAATCCCTAATATGAGCCCTTCTTCTCGGAGAGAGGACCGCCCTGAGACGCGCTGAATTGCTGCTTGAGTATGTGATCCAGTGCAGTGTAATCGGCTGATACGCTGATCATGTCGAAGCCCTGGTCGCTATAGAGCTTGGCCTGCTCGCCGCTCGTGGCGTAAATGCCGCACTTCTTGCCGGCTTTGCGACATGCGGCGAGGATTCTGGCAATGGCTTCTTCCAGCTCGGGCGCCATGACTCCATCCAGGATGGGGTGGCCGATGTTGTTGCCTACGTGCCGCTGGTTAGCCTAGCGCCCTCTAAATATATTTGCCCTGTTAATAAGTATATATGGATATACTCGAGCACATTGTCGTATGGAGCGCCATGACCAGATACTTTCAGACCTGGTCAAATACTTTTTTTGCCTCCCCAATCGACGTGTCTAGGTGATCTGTGGTGGGATAGGCACGGGGTGGCACTTGATCATACCGAGGTCAAAGGGTCCGATGAAGAGCACGTCGATGCCCTCGACGGCCGCGATTTCATCGACTTGGTACAACGCCTCTTGAGTCTCAATCTGGACCATCGTCAAGAGAGCTTCGTTTGCCTGCTGCAGATACTCGGTGAATGAAGGCACGGGATTGAAGCGTCCCGGCGCAATGGGAGATCCGAATCCTCGCTTGCCCCAGGGCGGGAACTTGGCCGCCTGGACCAGCTCCCTCGCTTGATCTGCAGAACGAAGCAGCGGTACAAGAATCTAACATGGTTAATGTACCGGCCGCGCCCCGGCCCCCAACCTGCGTCATGCCAACTTACACCATGAGCACCAGCATCCAAGGCGCCTGTAAAGGTCAGCCGCGCTCCGTCACGTACCCTACTTAAGTAGACGGGGAGACACGAAAGGAACACCCACGCTTGACCATCCACGACTGTATATCAGGCAGTCGAACAAGGGGCGTCACGCCCAAGGCCGCAATCGCCGGCACCGCATCGTGCATCGCCCCATCTGAGTATCGTCAGTAAGCAGGCATCCGCGTAAGCAGGCACCTCAAACGTTGTTTCCCTACCGTCAATGTTACCGTGCTCACAATCGACCATGACCCAATCTACGCCCGACCTCGCCAACAACCTTGACACGTTCGCCCCCGGAATCATCTGCCACATGCCCATGGACTTCTTTCCCTGAGCAAATGCTGTCTTGAGCCGATTGCATGCCTCCATGGTGTACGTCTTCTGTAACAATGTCACGACTTGAAATGGAGTTTTTCTCAAAAGTATATTACGCCTGAGAATCGAGCCAATGGACATCCTCGATAGAGCGTGCACGTCAAAGAGTGAAGAAACATAATGCATGGGTCGAGGGACGGCTTTGTATCCAAGCGCTATTGCGGGGACGCGTGGCTCTACATCTGCGGCATCGGCGCACAAATTGGCACTAACCTGCTCGATCCAGCGCAGGCTGCATTTGGGCTTTTTCTTGAAGCGGCTACATACTAACTAATAAGTCACTACTTTTGCATTGGGAATATGAAATGGCTTTTGCGGGGATCGACCGGAGTGGGGGTGACGTGCTGGGGAAACATTGCAGGAGTCGTCCGTGGGGGCCTGCAGGATGTGAGTCGATGTCTAGTTCGGCATTTGTCTACCCCGAGATGGAGGTTTGTGGCTTCGAATTGGCAATGGCCGTCAATTTGCACAAGTGTTTTGATATTCCATGCCTCGCCTCCTAGCAAATGCCTAGGGACGCTGTCAATTGACGTCGAGCAAACCCTGGCCTTCTACTCTTGAGAAGTCAACCACTTCGTGAATACAAACTCCGTCAAACGAGCAGGAACCAGAGCGTAGTAAATTGGCCTTTACCGCACGGTGGGAACCGTTTGTTTCTCTCCACTTTGCATTTGATCTCTATTCAAAGCAGTTTGCCTTTCCCAATCAATCCTTCCTGGCGCTCGCGCCGTATCAAATTCTAATTGTGACATATTATGTCGGGCCACATGGAAGTCGCGTCGCGTACCCAGAGAAACAACTTCTGAGGCCTGTGTCGCACAGGAGGCGGCTAATTTCATTATATCCTCTCAAGGAGACTCGCAAGATTGCTTTGCTGTTTTTTTTATTTGTCTCCAAAGTTGTCGCTTTATATGTAGACGGGTCATAGATTCGTAGCTCATCAGTCCTGAAGACATCTGTGATAGCATATTAGCGATATATTCAGACACAATTGTCTCCGTGGTACCAGATCATCACCATACCCCAAGTAATCCTCCTTGATGCTTCCAATGGCCCACATCTCGCCAACTTCTGTTCTCGTTCCGATAATTTTGACGCGCACGTGTGTCCCAGGTTCGATGACAGTATCCTCGTTATTGGTAAACTGCGGCGGTGTCGCGTTTGGATCCCACTTGATATCACTTGGTATCAGCTACTCTTTGTGATTAGCTGCAACTATTCTTTCAAGAGCCCCCGGCAGCGTAGTCTGTCATACGTGTGCTGAAACGAAAAGCCGCAGTGGACCGGCCTGCGCGAAGAAACCCTGAGGATTGATGGAGTATACTACAGCATCAACCTGGTCCAGTTAGCATCCCCCTTTTTGCCGTGCAACAGCCTCGCCATCATACCGTCTCGCCCTTGAACGGCCGCCAGACGACGGCGCGATAACCGACCGTGAATTCTGCTAGACCGTTGCCCGGAAGAATGCGCCCTTCGGAGATGTCGAACGTGTCCATGATAGAAATTATATAGTAGCTTCCAGCGCAAGTACCCTCCACATCCTTCAACAGCTTGCTAGTGACAAGTTCGTGCATGTTGCGTCCAAAGTAAGACGGATGCAGCGTCACCCTGCGCTCCATATTGTACAGGAAGAACATGGCGGGCTCTAGTCTACTGCAGCAAGAAGCAGCAGTAACCGAGAATTCAGTGTAATGACTAATTCGACAGATGTATCGGCGGGATGGGCGGGCGCTTCGCAGGACGCAAGCACGGCGGACGAGGTTCGCCTCGACTGTTCCAGCTGGCGATGAACAGGAGGATTTGCCGCTGAGGACGGAGCGACGAGGGGCCTGGCTGATCCGGGATCTGGATTAATGTCTGCGTAAGAAGCTCTCCACACCCCGAGAAGTGGACGGCTAGCTCCCAAGTGGGAGTTGGCGATGTGGTTGGAGAACTGGGAGGTTGACGAGACAAGGCTGAGGAAGTGAAAATGCGACTCCAACTGGTGGTCGAGACTCGAGAGGTGAGAGGCAGGTGGCCCGTGCACGACTCGACTGGTCGTGCTTGCCTTAAATGGGGTGCTACCGGTTCATAACGAATGGACGGGAGCAAACAACAAGCAGGGCTCGTTCGTATTTACTTCCTCTTATCCAGCGGACGTAATTGGTTAAACCTCTATAAATCATCATCAGTGTTCCATTTAACGTGGGATTTGCCCGTGTTTGAGGATCATTTCACGGAGCCTGACGACCTGAAAAGCGCCAGAGTCCGCAGAGGACAGTGGGCCAGCAGTGACGACCGAGGCAGCACGCTAGGGAACACACTCCCTCAAATTTGCCTGCCAAAAGAATCTATCTACCTGACAACCTAGCCCGGATACGGATCCGAACGTTGAAGATGCTGGTCTCCTTCAGGACTCGCAGTCTACTGTGATGCAACTGGCGGGGAAGAACCCCGGCACTGGGCCTTCCTGCCTTACAAGAACTTCTCATGTCACGACGATGGATACGTTTGGCTGACACGAGAATACAGACAAAGAATGTTGGGCAGCGGACCTAGGCACCCGCGGAGTACTTTTAGGGAAATTCTTGACCCGCCGTCCCAACGCCACTCATAAGCTCGGTGTACCAAGGAATATTACCACAGAACTGTTACTTGGAGAATGGCCGAAGGCCCAATGACTCTAGCAAGAAGTATTTTGGCGACGTACATATGCTTGTCCTATTCGACGATTACACATCTCAGCATGAGCATTCTAGGATGGCGCTGCGTGTGTATGCACCCCAAGCAGGCCAAAAACTCTAAGCTGTCCTCAGTTTGGGTCAGTTGAGGAAGCCGACCATGAGTCCGCCCTCAACCCTGCAAGTTCAGGCGGGCTTGGTGAGACATTATGTGTCTGTACGCCGCAAAGTCTTCACTGGCGTCTCCTCGGGCAAACGGTCCCGGTCATGCAATGTTCTTCAAAGGCATTGCTTTAGATGCAATGTCATGCACCGTTTGCCATGTCGCTTGGCAGCTGACGGCCGAGGCAACATCCGTCACTGGTTGGAGATACGACTCGGGCAGGAATGCGAACACAAAAGATATCTATCATTTGCAGCCGGTCGACTAGTGTCAACCCTGGTCTCGGCGATAGAGCCGCTTGCGAAGCGAATTGTGTTCAGTAGGGTTCGCGCAGGGACAGCGAATTCTGTCGAGCACTCACTGAGGCGGCCTTGGGGTCAACTGGTGGCTCCAGGCTCCAGGCTTGCAAGCCACTTGTTGCTCAGCACAAAGAAGTGCCTGGGTTACGGACTATTATGCTCTAGACCCACGCCCCCTTACCCGGGGCTGCGCGCTTCGGCGACTTTGGCAGTTGATGGACAACCGAGAACCGGTAGACACTCACATGCTCTCTGTACCTGCAGCCCTTTTGCTAGCACGACGCCCCCGAGGACATGAATCCAATGCCGCTGTTGTATCACACTACGGATAACGGAGCACGGAGTAAACGGACGGATGGAGTCGACTCGCGGCGCTGTGCTTTTGTCGTGGCTCATCATAGTGGCCACCGAAGGCAAGGGCCAACCGAACCCCAACAGGCAGAGCTGGCACATGAACTGACCTGGACGAACCAAACCTACCATGTCATCACTTGAACAACTCATTCACTCCCTTTTCTTTTCGTTTTCATCTGCCATCCACTTCTAATCCTCTTACGCAGACGGGCTCTTGAGGAGGCGCTTCCGCCAACCTTTCCAGCTCGACTTCCTCTGCTTGGATCACCTGCGTTTGTGTCTCAGCTGCTCGTTCAGCCATCGTCCCGCGGCTCGCTCTTGTTTTTCTTTTGGCTGGTGTGTCGCGTGCCCACCATGTCGCTCGACTTGGAACACCACCTTACCTTTGTGAGCATCACCAACTATGGAACCTCAGATGTCCATTGATGTCCAACCCTCGTGCCCAGCAATCCCAATGCCAAAACTCAGCTTCGACTGCCATAGTGGACTCGGTGCGATACAATACTAATTTTTGTTTCCTTTGGCATATACACAGTATGGCGCCTACCACCATAATTCAGTCAACAAGGTTATTCACATCATATGTGTCCCGGTCCTTCTAATCTCGGCCTTTTGTATGGTATGTTCACGGAATCATTGCATCTGGCGTCAACCATATTTGCCCCAGCCCTAATTCTTTTCTAGGCCACGTACTCGGGCACCCTCATTGAGACCCCCAGCTGGCTCTCTGTGCCGTATCTCGACCTTAATCTGGGTACAATTGCGGCTCTCATGTATACGGCGCTTTACTTGCTACTCGAGCCAGTGGCTGGTTTTGTCTTGGCCACATTTTGCTTGGCCGGCACCGCTTACTCCAATTACCTAAGGGCGGAGAACCCAGCTACTACTTTTCAGATTGCACTCGGCTGCCATCTTGTTGCCTGGATTGTTCAATTCCTTGGACACGGCGTGTTTGAAGGCCGCGCACCTGCCTTGTTAGACAACCTGATTCAGGCCCTTTTCCTAGCTCCGTTGTTCGTCTGGCTTGAAGTCCTCTTTAAGCTTGGATACCGCCCTGAGCTCCAGGCTCGCGTCGACAAAAGAATACAGCAAGAAATCGCCAAGTTCAAGACCGCTTCCAAGAATGGGAAGGCCAAGTAGATGGAGTAGCACGTTTCGGAATGCGTGTTGCCCAGCGGTCGGTCATTCAACGAAGTGGCGAGCTGTCATGGGGCGACGAACAGCGTCTGACCGAACCAAAAACCATGATCACGCGCCATCACCATTGCATTCTGGGACATATCAAGGCACACTTTGCTATACGCAAGCATCTTGCCACAGACTATACGTGCCAAACCCGAAGTCTCATTGCAAAAAGTTATTGCTGTTGAGCGGTCACTCTTTGTGTATCAACATGTCTCAAGAACAAGGTCTACCAAATATTCTTTTATTTTTGAAAACGCTACCCCGGGTATGGTGACGGCTCTTTCTTGTCTACCCGAACCGCGCAAGTCGCCCAAATCGGCCGGAAATCTTGTTCATATCGACCCTCTTTTAGCGACTTGATTTTAGTTGATCAACGTCTCGGCGAGCTGATGCTGTCAGTCCGGAACTGAGAAAATCAACGTGTATTATATGGAGGAAGAGGCTGTAAATCGAAATCGGAGGAACGGGCTACGAGGCGGGCAGAGCGGGAACGAAGAATGTGAAAGTGCAGTTCGATATGTGGTGAAAATCAACACAATGGTCAACTTTGAAACCAAAATCAAATCCACCCTTTCAAGTGACGGCGTGTCCAAACACATTCAATCGTCGCTGTCTGCGTACCTGCACCAGGCGGACTCAAAACATGTTCTTTGCCTGCCACTCCGCCTCTTCCCGAGCTGCCTTTTCGCAGCGCATCGATTCCACGGATGACCTTCTTGTTCCGAACAACTCCCATTTACTTGACTCGGCTCCCTTGAAATCATATTTAACGGGGGGTGGCTTCCGTTCTCCCCTGGGTGTCAACCGTTTTTCATGAGTGGAAGACGGGCCCGATGGTACGACACTCTGATGATCGAGAGCGTCGACTGGCATGAGGCTGTCGGCTGGTTCAGTACTGACACGGACGGCACGAATCGTCGGTTTTGATTCCACGAGCGTCTCGCGCGCTGCAGCATTCTTTCTGACCGTAAGAGGCTGCTGGCTTTCATCCTCGTGCTTCTTGTGCGGCACACAAATGTCATGGCTAGGTCGGGCAACGCCGCGGTCCTCTGCGTCGGCTGCTGCGTCTGTCGCATCAGGCGGCGAACCCTCATCACCGGCCTCCTGCGTGACGCCTCGGCCTTTGCCAACCTTTGGAAGGTGCCGAAAGAGCCTTCGACATCGCTGTAGAAGCCTAGTGCTACGACTTTTCTCCTTGTGCTCGGGGAACTTGTTGCGTTGGAGACGATCCTCGGATTTGTGGTGGCGTGAAAACTTGCGTATTTTCTGGGCTGTACTCCCCTTCATTATTACTTTTTGGATTGGGCAGGATGAACAACGAGAAGAGGTGGAAGAATGTAATTGATTCGAGGGGCGGAAAGGGTTCGTGCTTTCCAATGTACGGCAATGTTGGATTTATATTGTGCGCCGAGAGGTGGACATGCGCTGAATGTCATGACGGCCTTTGATACAATTGTCGCAAGATGCAATTTGAGTAAAGATAAAATGTACTGGGGGGGGGATTCTATGTCTTCTCAAAGGACGGGTTTGTTGCGCTTCGTTCTGCCCCTCGTGAAGAAGATGGCATAAAGGCTGTTGAGAACAAGGCAAAACTCCAAGTGTGTTGGCTGTGTTCTGGCTAATTGAGGACTTTGACGTGTGTGTATTGTTTTCTTTCTTTCTTTCTTTCTTTTTCGTCTTCATGTTTATTCATGACGTGTGCGCTGGAAGTTGATGGAGTTGGCAGTGATCGCTTTCGACGCATGACAACTATCACCACTGTCAAGGGGGTGATCTGGGGACTGGGGACAAAACGACATTGATGTACTCGCTGTCACGGGGACCGGTTTACGGACGCCTGTGGTGTCCTCTGAACACGTTCGTCTGCCTGTATGCTTGCATCTGTTACTGTTGACTGCTGGGTACGCGTGCATTCCTGTGTATGCTGTCTTGTACAGTCCATGTTTGTGAATCGTAGTGTGTACTGCAACTGGTAGGGTCTCAAGGTCTCAGGTACGAGGGCCGAAGCGTTTAACTGCGCGAGATCAGACGTCTTTCATCAGCCGAGATTTGAGGTGCCTGGGCTGATGTGTTTGATGTAGAGGGGACTGGCGTTGGTGCATGACGCAACACCTTGGACGACATTAGGAGGTATCCGTCCAGCACCTGCTATCACTGACTTACTAACTGCTGAGTATATTGAGATTATGTAACTACCTTAGGTATATATATATATATGTGTGTGTGTGTATATATATATATATATATATTTGACTGGTGCGTTTCGTTCCCCCAAAGAAAAAAAAAAAAGCTTTCGACTGTGGCCCTCGTATCAAGGTCCCTACCGTCCCGGGCGAGAGTCTCCTTGATCTTGCTAAGATCCTCAAATCTTGATGACGAGGACACCTTTAAAATCGTATTCTCACGGCGAATCAAGGCACCAACGCCAAAGTAAGTAGACCATAAGACGTCTACTCTGCTAGGCATGTCGTTGTAGGTACATCGCCGGCTTCGATACCGGTCCCTTGGAAAAGTCAGTAATCGGTAGTTAACAGCACAGGAACAGAGGGGGGCTCGACTACTTGCAGCGGCTTCAACTCTTGTGACCTTGCCAGCGTAGCCCATTCCTCCCTGCCGAGGCAGTCAGCCGTGAAGGCAACATTGAGGGAGCGTCTTCGCCCCGGCGATGCGTTATGTTCGCACCGCCATCGCCTTGGACCGACGCTCGCCTCCCAAAGCGGATGCAGCTGAAATCCGGTCATCTTGGAGCGTCGGCGAGCCCCTTGGCGGGGAGACGCTTGGCCGCTCATCAGACTGCGAGCGACGTGCCGCGCGTTTCCCGTTGCATAACGGCAACTCGTAATGCTGACAGATATAGGCGGGAGTCTGGCGTATTGCGGGCTGTCTGCCCTGCCCGGCTTCCTTGTTCCCAAGACCAGGGCGAGATGCTCGTCCAATGCTCGTCACTGCGCCTCGGCAACACGGCACGACTTGCGAGCACCGAATGAGCGGTAGTCGTTGATGATGCTTTCCGGTCCCAGAGTCGGAAGATGGAAGATGTCATGGCAGCGTTTTCCATGTCCACGTTTTCCCGCCGCCAGCCCGGCATGCTGCCATCGCATTGCAGGGCCAACCGCCTCTCCGACAAGGCGGCCTTGTCGAGTTCCCTGCGGCGAATCTGTTTCCAGCTTACTTTGACAATGGCATGTCGTGTCCTTGCAATGGTTCTTCCGCCCTCAATATTGGAAAGACTGAATGGCGCAGTAACATTGCTGGAAGTGTCTTCCCGGCTATGAAGGAGAGCCTCTGCCTTATTGGATGGATGGTTTCTCAGGCAGATGAGAATCTGGTCTGACGGCAACTACAGTGGCGTCGTCCTCTTCTTCTGTGGATGCGAGCTCGACTCGGATGCTTTGGTTTCCATCTACCACGTCTCGTCTCGCAGGCAGAAGACAGGTGATGACGACGAAAGGCATTCGAGAAGCTTGGGCATCTGCTGCGAGGAAACAGTCTGGGTACTCAGTACTCTGTAGGTGCGAGGCATGAGGCAGGCCCGCGAACAAGATGAAAATACAACCAGCTGCATTACAGATTACGGTGATGAGTCCTTGCACAACGTGCAGGAGGGTACATTGCCTACCACCCGGCGTGGGTGCCCTGCTACAGGCTACAGTGCTCCTTGAGTAAGTACTTAGTATTAGGCACTTGGGTGCCCGGCGGTGCACATGCATCCAGGAAGTACTTGAGCACTTAACTCTTAAGTACCTAGGAACTCAGTTGACGATGGTCATGATGCATGATGCATTATGCATCATGCACAGTCACGGGCGAGCTGCTACCGAGCAAGTACCTAGGTACTTAAGTACATGCTGAGGAACGGGAGCGAAGCCGTGGCCTTCCGCTACAGGGCCGACTTGGGTGGGCAAGTCTCTACGAGCAGTGTTGATGCCTTGATGCCGACCTCGCACTTCCCACTCATGTCCGCCTGCGGTTCAAGGGGATACACGGGTACTTCAATAGATGATGGGACTTGACACAACAACGCGCGCAAGAAGCGTTGTTTGTTGCGCAACACGCGCCAATAAGCAAGTCTCGACTTGCCCCCCTGCAAGCGCAGTCGTTGCACGAGTTGATGACACCTGAGAGTCCCGTCAGAGAAGCTGTCAACGTTTGATCGTGGATCGTGGGGGCCACGACCCCGCTGTGACCGCCGGAGGGTTTGAAACCATTTAATTGACTTCTGTTGACTGAGTACTTGACTTGCGAGGCCGCACCAACAAATCTCGGCCTTATCTTATCGGTGAGCGGTGACCCGTCCGCCCCGGTCGGAACCTGGGGTCGCCTTTTTTTTTTTTTTTTTTTTTTTTTTCCTTCGAGCTCTCCGTCGTGGCCCTTGATTCGTGTCACCGACTTCTATTCCCTCTCTTAATCACATCTCCCTTTCCACCTCTTCGCTTCGCTGGCCCTCGACACCTGTCCAATCCAATTGGGCCCCGAACATCTAAGCCGCTCGAGGGACGGAGTCATTGAAGCATTGAACACCCCGGGAGTCGTCTGCCGTCTGCAATTTTCACGCGTCCCGCGATGCCTTCGATGCTGGCTGGCCGTGCTCCGATCCTGCTCCGAGCTGGACGGCGTCTTCCTCCAACTTTGCCTGCTCGCGCCAGGTCTCTCACCACAGCTTCCTTGACGTCGTCTGCCCGTGCCTTGCTTCAGCCCAAACAGCACCTCAAGAGACTGGGCACAATCTCAATTGTCCGAAATTACACCTCCTCGCCAGCCGAGGCCGCCCCCAACCCCAAGGCGTACATCAACAGTGGGGTCATTAAACACGCAAAGGATGTCCATGTGAAAAAGGTCCTCGTCATTGGAAGTGGTGGTCTTGCCATTGGCCAGGCTGGTGAATTCGACTATTCAGGTTCGTTCTTCACATCGACCTCCCACCGAGGAAGTCGGACAGAGGTGCACGCACACCGAACCCGAGGACACGCTCTCACCGTCGTGACTCACGTGCTGTCGCAAACATGACATACATTTCGGAGCAAGTCAAAAGGCTCACATACTAACACCGCCCTTTCCACACAGGCTCACAGGCACTCAAGGCACTCAAGGAAGCTGGCGTCGCTTCTGTTCTGATCAACCCCAATATTGCTACTATCCAGACCAACCACACCCTCGCCGACGAGGTCTACTACCTGCCAGTCACGCCCGAGTATGTCAGCTACGTCATCGAAAGAGAGAAGCCCGATGGCATTTTCTTGTCCTTTGGTGGGCAGACTGCCCTGAACCTGGGTGTTCAGATGCAGCGCCAAGGACTGTTCGACAAGTACGGCGTCAAAGTTCTCGGTACCAGTGTGCGAACTCTGGAAGTTTCAGAGGATCGAGACCTCTTCGCCAAGGCCCTAGAGGAGATCAACATCCCAATCGCCAAGTCCATTGCTGTCAGCACTGTTGACGAGGCATTGGATGCCGCTGAAAAGGTCGGCTATCCCATCATTGTCCGTGCTGCCTACGCCTTGGGAGGTTTGGGTTCTGGCTTTGCCAACAACGAGGAAGAGCTCCGCAATATGGCCGCGCGTTCCCTGACTCTGTCGCCTCAAATTTTGGTTGAGAAGTCTCTCAAGGGTTGGAAGGAGCTGGAATACGAAGTCGTTCGCGACGCCAACAACAACTGTATCACGGTTTGCAACATGGAAAACTTCGATCCCCTTGGCATCCACACCGGTGACTCGATCGTCGTTGCTCCTTCGCAAACTCTGAGCGACGAGGAATACCACATGCTTCGATCTGCTGCCATAAAGATTGTACGACACCTTGGCGTTGTTGGCGAATGCAACGTTCAATACGCCTTGCAGCCTGATGGCCTTGACTACCGAGTCATCGAGGTCAACGCTCGTCTCTCCCGGTCCTCTGCCCTGGCCTCAAAGGCTACTGGCTATCCTCTTGCTTACACTGCTGCCAAGATTGGTCTTGGCCACAGTCTACCGGAGCTGCCCAACGCCGTTACCAAAACCACCACCGCCAACTTCGAACCCTCTCTAGACTACATTGTCACAAAGATGCCCCGATGGGATCTGTCCAAGTTCCAGCACGTCAAGCGAGACATTGGCAGTGCCATGAAGTCGGTTGGCGAGGTCATGGCAATTGGCCGAACTTTTGAAGAATCTTTCCAGAAGGCCATCCGCCAGGTTGATCCCCGGTTTGTTGGCTTCCAGGGCGACAAGTTTGAGGACTTGGATCATGAGCTGCAGAACCCAACTGATCGCCGATGGCTCGCCGTCGGCCAGGCCATGCTTCACGAGAACTACTCGGTTGAGAAAGTTCATGAGCTGACCAAGATTGACAAGTGGTTCCTGTACAAGCTCCAGAACATTGTTGACTGCACGCGTGAGTTCCAGGCTGCTGGCAGCCTGCAGGCTCTGAAGAAGGACCAGATTCTCAAAGCCAAGAAACTCGGCTTCTCTGATCGCCAAATCGGCATGGCCGTCAACGCCACCGAGGACGAGGTGCGCGCTTGCCGACTGAGCTTCAATATCCGCCCTTGGGTCAAGAAGATTGACACCCTCGCTGCCGAGTTCCCCGCTGATACCAACTACCTGTACACCACCTACAACGGCTCTTCCCACGACGTGACTTTCGAGGACAAGGGCAAGGTCATTTTGGGAAGTGGTGTTTACCGCATTGGGTCCTCTGTCGAGTTTGATTGGTGCGCAGTCGGCGCCACCCAAGCCCTCCGCCAGATGGGAGAGAAGGCTATCATGATCAACGTGAGTTGAGAGAAAACCATTCCCGCAGTCGCGAAATGTTTAGTAAACTAACGACAAGCAAAAAAAGTATAACCCGGAAACGATGAGCACCGATTACGATTGTGCGGACAAGCTTTACTTTGAAGAGCTAAGCTACGAGCGTGTCATGGATATCTACGAACTGGAGAATTCCTCGGGCGTGGTTGTCTCTGTTGGCGGTCAACTACCCCAGAACATTGCTCTTCGTCTGCAGGAAACCGGCGGTGCCAAGGTTCTTGGGACTGATCCCAGGGATATCGACAAGGCCGAAGATCGTCAAAAGTTCTCCGAGATTCTAGACAGCCTTGGGATTGACCAGCCTTCATGGAAGGAACTCACCTCGGTCCAGGCCGCCGAGAGGTTCGCCGAAGAAGTAGGATATCCCGTTCTTGTCCGTCCCAGTTACGTCCTCTCTGGAGCTGCCATGACAGTGATTCGCAGTCAGGAAGATCTCAAGGAGAAGCTTGAGGCCGCCAGCAATGTGTCGCCCGACCACCCCGTCGTCATCAGCAAGTTCATCGAGGGTGCCCAGGAAATCGACGTCGACGCTGTCGCCTCCAAGGGCGAACTCGTCATCCACGCAGTCTCGGAGCACGTTGAACAGGCAGGCGTCCACTCTGGTGATGCCACACTGGTTCTGCCTCCCGCCAACCTGGACGGCGCCGTCATGGAGCGGGTCAAAGAAATCGCCAAAAAGGTCGCCAAGGCCTGGAACATCACTGGTCCCTTCAACATGCAGATCATCAAGGCAGACGACCCCGAGGGTGGCGAGCCGGCGCTCAAGGTGATTGAGTGCAACCTCCGTGCTTCCCGGTCGTTCCCCTTTGTCAGCAAGGTCCTCGGCCTCAACTTCATCGACATTGCCACCAAGGCTCTCGTCGGCAAGGACGTGCCCGAGCCCACCGACCTCATGGCTGTTAAGCGAGACTATGTCGCCACAAAGGTACCCCAGTTCTCATGGACCCGTCTTGCCGGCGCCGACCCTTTCCTGGGCGTCGAGATGTCGTCAACTGGTGAAATCGCCTGCTTCGGCAAGGATCTTGTGGACGCGTACTGGGCGTCTGTCCAGTCCACCATGAACTTCCGCATGCCCGAACCCGGTGAGGGTCTCCTCCTTGGCGGAGATGTCAGCAAGACGTGGTTGACCCAGGTTGTCGACTTTGTCGCTCCCCTCGGATACAAGCTGTATGCGGCCAGCAACGACGTCAAGAAGTTCCTCGAGTCCACGGCCAAGGACAAGATCACTGTCGAGGTTATCGAGTTTCCCAAGGAGGACAAGCGTGCTCTCCGTGAAGTGTTCCAGAAGTACGATATTCGTGGCTGTTTCAACTTGGCCGTCGCGCGTGGCAAGACGACCCTTGACGTGGACTATGTCATGCGCCGAAACGCGGTTGACTTTGGCGTCCCTCTGTTCATGGAGCCCCAGGTAAATGAGACATATAACCCCCCTGTGCTGTTGTCTTGTCCAACTTGGCACCATTGGCTAACATGTGTAGACGGCCATTCTCTTCGCCCGGTGCATGAGCGAAAAACTCCCTCGCAAGGAGGGCATTCCCTCCGAAGTCCGCCGCTGGTCCGACTTTATCGGCGGCAAGCCCCTGTAGACAAATCCACAGCTAGCGATTCAAAGATGCATGGGTTTCGATGACAAAAGGGTAGATGCCTAATGCACTGTTATCCGATGTGTTTGCTGTGTTGTGGTATTTAGTGATATTCGGAGTCTAGGATAAGGTCCTTGAATTTTTCCTGAAAACAAAAAAGAAAAGGTACCCCTACAGTCTGCGTCTACGGCCAGTGGGAGGATCCACATGGAGCACAGATTGCTACGTGACAGACAACAACGACATGAGCCAGTTCGTCGTGATCAAAGTAGAAAAGGCGGACGATCCCCGGCAAGCTTACAGTCGTAGATGGCCAGAGGGGAGGGAGGGGAAGGGGAAGCAAATCGAGGGCCGGACGACCAGGTACGGGCGAGGGTTAGGGTCACAGACAGGTCACCGGCACATGTACATGGACACGAGGGTCTGGCGGACAGCACACCGAACACCTTGGCACAGCAGCGACGGCGAACAAGCATGGGCGGCAAGACATAGATAAGATGCCTGGATAGGTCACTGGCTGCTCGTACGTAAAATCGACGACCACGACCACGACCACGACCACGACCGAGCCATCCCCCCCGGCGGGCAAGGGGGCTTCCCATTTCTCGACCCACAGCCCGTCGGCGGCTACTTGTGGTGTTTTGGCGGCCAGATAGCCTGCTCCATTTTCCAGGGGGCACCGATGACGCTGATGTCGATCTTCATCCAGACCTCCTTGTCCTGCTTGAAGAAGACGACGTCTCCCGTGGCGGAGGCGAGCCTGGCGGTGGCCTTGACGCCGCGCTCGATGCTGCCGGAGACCTTGCCGAGCTGGATGTTGAGCAGGTAGAGCACGCCCATGAGGGTGTCCTTCTCGGGCAAGATGTAGCCGTCGAACTGGGCGAGGTCAGCGGGCGGAAAGAAGGAAAGGAGGAAAGGAGGAAAGGAGAGCGACGGAGGGCCGTGGAGGGCCGTGGGAGGCGCGTACCGTGACTGGGCCGACGTTGGCGCGGACGTGGTGCGACTTTGGCAGGCCGACGTCGGCCATGGGCGACTGCTGCACGTGCTGGATGAAGGTGAAGGCGTCGGGCAGGTTGTTCTCCTTGTTGGGGGAGTTGACCTGGATGACGGCCCCTGTGGTGTGGTGCCGTCAGCATGTCGCGGCTCACCGGGGGTGGCCTTTGGGGACGGACTCACCGGTGTTGTGGGTTGCCTTGTCCATTTTGCGGACAGAGTTTCTGCAGAAGCCGAGGGGCCTGGTTCAGGAACGGTGAGCTGGGTGATGCTGGTTGTCGTTGATGTTTTTCGAGAGCTACGCTCGCTCGAGGAGGACGAGGGGTTGCTGTGTGAGTTGAGGAGGGGGACGACGAGATGAAGGTACGGAAGACTCGTTGGAGGGGAAGGGGGGGGATGAAGCCGGCGAGGCTTGCGGTTAAATAAGAATACCATACCTGGTGTCGTGGTCTTGAAGTGAAGCTGTGGTGGTTTGGCAGGACAGCCCGTGGGCTCACAAGGTAGACGGACGGACGGACGGACGGACGGACAGACAGACAGACAGACAGACACGCAATCAGTCACATCACGGGCTGCAGCCGAGCGTCCAACGGAAAAGGCAATACTCGTCTTGCAGGAAGCTGGCGAGGCGAGGCGGCCGGCGTGCGGTGCGGAGACTTGTAGATGGTTTTTACCCGTCACAAAAAGTGAAGCTCAGCTGCTGGCTGACGCAGAGTCAGTCAGGCTCTGCATTGCACGGCAGGTGAGACAGCACTCAGCAGCGTTGCACTCGGGTCGTGCGCTTTGAGGCATGTACGTGTCTTACACGGCGGACGGCAGCCTTATTGCTTCAATGTGACAAGTTCAAAGTAACATGTTATCAGTGAGAGAGAGGGAGAGAGAGAGAGAGAGAGAGAGAGAGAGTAAGCCGAGTCCTGCGTTTGCGCGAGGAGGTTGAGCATGAAGAATGAAGAGACAACGTGTGTCTGGTGAGACAATGGCGTTGCACTCACGTCCTGGGCTCAAGGCAGCGTGTGTGTAAATGAGAGGCGATGCACGGAGCAAGAGACGTAGCAGCACGTTGATATGACAAGCTTGAAAAGCAGTATATTAGTAAGAGAGAAGATGCATTCTGCACGTCTTGTCATGTGTTTGATGCGTCAGACGAGGAAACCAGACGACGATGCGTGTCCAAGAGGAGAGCCATGGGATAGCAGGACCAGACGAATATGACAAGTGAAAGGCAACACTCCGCGGACTGGTGAGCGACAACACAGGCCGCGTCACATTCACATTCACATTCGCGCAATGCCTCGATGTGACGAGTCGACAGAATGCGCGAGTAATAATGCAGAGAGAGTGCGAATCCTGCGAGCAAAAGAGCATGGTGCGCCGTGAGACGTGTGATGCGACATGACGAGCCGACAGGACATGTCCTAGAGAGACCATGCCTGTGTCTGCGACTGAGACCAGCGTCGTTGCCTCTTTGTGCCGAGTCGACGCGATTCAGTTGCAGTCGGGTGGTGAGTTGGAAGGAGACGCAGTCGAGGGAAAGATGGGTGAGGGCCAGTCAAGATGGTGCTGAGTTTTACGTGACAATAGACAGATGGAGAGAAGATATGTGACGTGCAGCCGAGACAGCAACGTCAAGTCTTGTACGACTATTCACAGAGCACAACAACATGTCATGGACAGGAGAGGATACGTAACCCGCAGCCGAGACAGTGGTGTCGAGTTGATATGACGGGTCACGGCGGAACACAGCACGACAAAGAAAGAATGACGACAAGCGAGCAGACTGCAGCCGTGAGGGTGCAATGGCATCGACACCGAACAGAATACGTGTCCTGCACGTCGTGCGCGGCGTCGCAGCGGACAGTAAGACGTATGATACAATCCGCGTCGAGTGTGTCGATGTGGTATGCAGACAGGCAAGCATATCACGGCCATCCGTACTGAGGCATCCTGGGCGGCAATGCCGCCTCGGCTTCGGTCCAGAGCACTTAAAGGACCATCTGGCCATGCCAAAGTAACCAGCCCAAGCGCAGACACACAGCTTCGTCGTGTTTCGGACTTGACGAGTCCATCTGCTCAAAAGCCTGTGTTGGGAAGCAGCAACGACAGCAGCAACAGCAACAGCAACAGCAACAACCTCTTTCGGCCTTGCCTCGCCAGAACAACCCATCATGGCCGATTCCTACGTCGGGGGTAAGACGGCATTGTCCCACGCAGACAGAAACCAAGCGGTCGGCTAACCGTCCTGTCCAGGGGTGCAAATCAAGCAGTTCACCGAGGTGAAGGAGGAAGACGATGCTCCTCCAACGTTCGTCTTCGAGCAGCAGCTGCAGGCCGAGTCTGTATCTGCTCTCGAGCTCGACATGTATACAGCTGGAAAGAGCATCAGCTGGGGCTTTGGTCCAGTCAATGTAGAAACGAGCCCCCCTGCCACCATGTTGGAACAAGGGACGGCTAATCGGGAGAACAGGTCAGCGGCGCCTTGGACACTTCGACATGGGAGGCATCGCTCGAGGTCAGCGTTCTGGGCATCAGCATTGGCAAGGCCAGCGGGAGTCTCATCAAGGGAATCACTCTTCGTATCTCCTTGTTCGTCGCGAGCGGTGAAATCACCTTCTGGAAGAAGGGTTCAGAGTTCTGGATCAAAGTCACCCTCAGCGGCCTTGGCAAGTCATGGAACTTCGAGAAGAAGATTTTCTAGGTGATTGCGCGGGGGTATACAGCTCCAAGTCAACCAGCTATGCAATGGCAGACCTGCCGCGAGTACTTCAATGCCTAGTCCAACTTGTTGCAAATATTGCCGGGCTCGATGGCCTGACATTGAGCCACGGGCATGTGAGAATGTGTGCCAGCAGGTGTGATGCATAATCCGGCATTCTGTGCGCAGGTAGCCCTCCCGTTCCGGGTTCCCGGGCAGAGCAGAAAAGGCCAGGACAGTCTCCCGTCCCGTGGTCGAGGACGATGGGCACGAGGCTCCGGTGCTTGTTGTCGAGCCCACCAACATCAACATCAACATCGGAGGCGTCGAGAAAAAGGACCTGACAGCGCCGCGACCTGAATCATGACGTGACGACGGCATCTGCGGCTCTGGTGCGTCGACGGATTGATTCGGGGTGGTTGCTTTCGTGTGCCCTCGCAAGCCACGCGGTCGGGCTGGCTCCGCGAGTCCCGGGTTCCCTAAACTCTGACTGATACTGATGATGATTGAATGCTTCTTGCTGTCACGGGGAGAGTCATACCAGGCGGCAGAAAGCAACGTGCGTGATCCGGCACATGCCCTTCCTTGGCCTTGAAACTTTGGAGTCGAGGCAGAGAGCGTAGAAGTGACGGCAATATTTCTTCGGTTGCCTACCGTACCACACGGTGCCCCGGCGTAGGAAACGGGAGGGCAGAAAGGGAGCAGTCATGTTGTTGGATGCAGCCGGCCTTGTTCAGTCAGGTTCTGCTGCTGCCCGATCGATGGCCTGACGCTGCTGCGACCCGTTGGCAATAAATATCTCGACATGCTCATTCGGCAAGGCTGAGAAGCTGGTCGACGGCTTTTGCGGGCTGGACTGGGCCGCGACAGGGCATGTCGACAATCCCATCATCCTGAAGCACAACCGCGAGGCCTTGTTGGTTTGCGATGCGTTGACCTCGTCGTTGGGGAGAGGGTCTCGTTGCCTTGAAATATTTTTCCGACCGCAAGTCTGGGTACGGTGTTGACGATGAATTGGACTCGAGCTCCTCAGCTTCCCGCATCGTGTACTTGCCATGACCGATGACTTGACCAACCAGCAATGCAACCAGCCACCAACGCAACCGACAGTGAGGGTAACAAGTGCGTTTTTATCAATACCGAGAGTCGCACGAATGCAGGGAACTAGCAAATCAAAGCTACAGAATCTTGTGCAGGAGGGCGGGACGAGGCAGCAGGCGAACCATGGTCCAGTCCAACCTGCGGGTAAAGGTCCGCGGGTTCACATTTCGGATGCAGTGTCCGACCCTCTTGATTTTTAAATTATACATAAAAAAATAGCGGCCCCGTCTGACACATACGACCACAGCCGCCAGTAGAGCTCAGAAACCCGTCCGATCTTCCAGGAGAATCTGGCGGGCGCTAGATTAGTAGTTAGGTCGGTGACGACTAGCGAATAATCGTGCCCGCCCCACTTTATGTGGCTCGGCTAGCAAAAGCCCTCACCACCAAAGGTGGTGCTCGACAGCAAGGCGGGCCGGACACCAAGGCGGGCCAATTTTCAACCTAATAACGCTATTAACCTCTTCGCCTATAATGTACACCCTTCTCGTCCCAAATTTCTAGTAGATCTAGTACAGAATCCAGACGCCATTTACGTGCCTTTTTAGCTGCTTCAAAAAACGTCCTCTTGGCGTGGTTGTGGCGCCTTTTGTCGGCATGCTCTTTATGCTTGCTGTTCGCCTGATGAACTCGAGAAAGGTCTTTGCAAAGGCGTGATTGGAAGGAGAAACGGCGAATGGTTGACGCGACAGGTATGCATTTGTTGGCGGTGACGGGAGGGGAGCCATATGAAGAGGTGCATTATCTGTTGACTGTTTTTCTAGACCGGGAAATAAAAATAGGACATGTATAGAAAACCAGATATTACAGCCCTTTTTAAAAAAAAAATCAAAAAAATCAAAGGTCGTCACTCATTCATTGGAAGCTTCAACGAAAAAAAAAACCCCGGATGTAATTACGCAGCTCATTAAAGATCCACCTGATCAATCGCCGGCCACCATTGAGACCAGGCCCCCTGCTCGTCGAGGTTATTGCTGACTTCCGCGAAAAGCTGGTTCAACAAGGTATTAGTGTCGAGCTCGTGCTCGTGCTCGTGCTCGTGCTCGTGCCCTTGAACCGGCCAAGTCGCCTGCGCCGAGGGCCGCTCCGCGCCCCGAATCTCCCGAGTATGCGCGTCGGATCTATCCACGACACGGAACTCGTGGACAGACTGGTGTAGAGTATCAAAGTCTGCTCGTGTGCGCCCCTGGTATCGTGTCCGGTCCTCGGTTGCTCGCTCGTAGAGCACGGATGCATGGTGTATCGTTTTGATCTTGCGCGTGCCGCCCTCTCAATGTTAGCGCAACGGTGGCCACGGTCGTGTCATGCTTGCGGGCGGCTTACCCATCCGTCGGCGATTTTCCAGACAAGTCGAAACTTTTCCAGGTAGTCGAGACACATTTTGAGACAGTCGCTTGCTCGCGGGCTGCGGCCCAGGTTCATTCGGGGGTATTTCGCCACGTAGAGGTTGAGGTAGCCGGCTGAGAATGCGCAGAACCCGGCAAAGGGCGTCATGAGATGCACGCCACACTCGGAGGCCTCGTGTAGAATGGCGGCGATGTGCTCTGCCGCGCCGAAGAGGAGTCGGGAGCTGTCGTCCCACCAGCCCTCGGGGGCGGGCGCCCCCAGCATGGGCTGGTCGACTGGACCCCGTGGCTCCGACTCCGGGGTCGGCAGGAAGGGGAAGTACTCGCGGTGAAGCATGAGGGTGCTGACAAGGCGTAAGCAGGGGCGGCGGCGGCAAGTTGGGAGCCCCGTCGACCGCTACCGCTGTGGGAAGGGGATTCTTACCTCACGTAGTACAGGAGATTGAGGTAGACGAACGTCTCGCCGAAGCCGAGCGTCATGTGGACGGCCACCGAGTTGCTGGGGTAATGGAGCTTCCGATGCTGGCCTGCCCTCCAGGCCTCGAGCTGGCTTCGGGATTGTGACTTGTATGTTTTCTCTATTTTTAGCTCTCTTAATAAATTTTAAATTATACATATATTTAAATAGCGGCTGTCCCTAGCACATACGACCACAGCTGCCAGAAAGCTCAGAAACCCGTCTGATCTTCTACGATAACCTGGCAAGCGCTAGATTAGTAGCTAGGTTGGTGACAACTAGCGAATACCTAGTGTTGTATGTTTTTTTAGCCCCCCTCACTTTAAAACTATATAATATATATATACTTTAATAGCTACCCTGCTCAGCACATACGACCACAGCTGCCAGCAAACTCAGAAACCCGTCCGATCTTCTACGATAACCTGGCGAGCGCTAGATTAGTAGCTAGGTTGATGACAACTAGCGAATACCTAGTGTTGTATGTTTTTTTTGGCCCTCTCAACTTTCAATTACACATGTAGCAAAATAGCGGCCCTCCCCAGCACATATAACTACAACTGCTAGAAAACTCAACCCATTACCGCGATGCACCAGATGGCTCGAAGCGGTGACGAAAGTGCAGCCGTGGCGCAGCCATTGTGGTTGCCACGATTGCTCAGGTAAGGTGGTGCGCACACCTAAACAAGTCCCCAGGCGGTGATCACCGGGATGACATGTTTCGATAGTCTGATCAAACTCGCTTCCTGCTAATGATGTTTCGCCGTTCCGGATAGCCTACAGAACAGCCCACCTTTCTCACGAAGAGTGTGGGATCATGGACGAAAACTCTCTCGGCGACCCGCTTGACCAGTCGCCCCGAAGACTCTCAATCAGGCGATGGCACAGGGACGCCAAAACGGCCGCGTTTACTCATGGCAGCGATAGGGAGGCTGCTCTCTATCCCTTCTGCTCCTGATGTCTCCCTACTCCTCGCCTAGACCGGGAAGGGATTCCCTCAGGTCTGGTCTCGTGCAGTCCGTCAACACGTCCAGAAAAGCGACTCGAGGTGCCGAAATATTCGGCCATTAGCGTAGGTTGTGACAGCAATAAAAGGCAGCCTTAATTACCTGACGCGGCCTCCAAGGATGAGTAATATAGCTGGTTGTTCAACTTGCAGCAAGAGCTTTTGCCAGTCGAACAGGCTGCGTACTTTAGGAGCGACGGATGTAATGAAGTTAGCGCTAAGGCATTGTAGCGTCTGGACCTTTTCGTCAAAATAAGAAGAGACAAGGCAGCAGATGCAAGGCACGACTAGGGACACGTGTTAGTTTCGGCAAGCTTAAGCAGTCTAACGATAAAAATAAGAGCCTGTGGCTTTAGGTTGGCAGTACTATATAAATAGTATTTGCTTACCTAGCCTCTACGATTATTTGTGCACGCCTTCACTCTAACTAGGTCTGAGATGCATGGAGAGTTACGTTTAACATCCACAAGGAGCCTAAAAAATTCATTTAGGTTACGTGTGTATATTTAATGATAAGTGACAAGGAGCTAGGCTTAGACACCTTTACTGGGGAAAAAGACAAAAAAGTATCTGTCACTGTGCCTGCTGAGGCTCACAGAAAGAAGCAGAAATAGCAACTTAAACTTAACCCTAATCTGATCGCCTGTCAACAAGGCATTGTCTGTCGCAGCACGTCTTGCTTCCTTGTCAAGCCTGCTGGCAGAGCAGAACAAATACTCTTAGACTTCCACCATGCAACCACCTAAGGCTGATCTTCTTAACAAGGCAAACGAACGCGGCGTTAAAGGTCTCGCGAGAGAGGTTGTCTACCATGAAGAAGTCACTAGCATAAGCAGGCTGCGCAGATTTATACGTCCTTCTCGCCATCGCAACCGCCGCTGAGCCACTCCTTCAGCCAGTTTCCAGGTCTCAGTATTGCCAGCAGTGGACACAGCAAGAGGAAGTCGGCGGACTGGTCGAGCCATTCATCCGGAGTGACATCTAAGATGGCGTGCGTGCTCCGAAACCGAAGAGACAGGCATAAAAGCGGAATAGTGCGGAGGATAAATTACAGGTCCGCGGTGTATCCAAGATCTATAAAGGTGAAACCAAAGAAACCAGATGATTTGATCCAGGTTCGATGGACAGTTTTTATTTCCAACCCCATCGATTCGACATGCACCGAACGGTATATACCAGCCCAATCAGGACAGGGACCTCAATCAGGGGCCCGACGGTGGCAGCTAATGCCTGGTCGCTGTCGGGACCAAACGTCGCCACGGCCACGGCTATCGCCAACTCAAAGTTGTTGCTTGCCGCCGTAAAACTTTGTGTTACCAAAAGAGGGAACTTGAAGCCGAGGAGTCGGCAAGTCGATAAAGTGGCCAAGAAGATCAGGACAAAATAGACCACCAGCGGCGCGGCGACCCGCAGGACTGACACGATCTGGTGAACGACCTGGTGACCCTGAGATGCGAACAATACAAGAATTGTATAGAGAAGGCCAATAAGGGACCACGGTGAGGCAAATCGAACAAAGACATGCTGAAACCACTCGTCACCCGCGGTTGCACGAAGTAGAAAGCGTGTAACAGCAGCTGCCCCAAGCGGAATACCAAGGAAGACTGCCACGCTGGTTGCAATGATCTGGTAGGAAATGTTCAGTGTTCCTGGATCCCCACAGATGATACTAATAAAGAAGACGGCAAGAGGTGCGAAAAGGACCATTTGCAGGAGTGAGTTGATGGCGACGAGGATTGCGCAGTATTCGTCGTCACCGCCAGCAAGGCCATTCCATATGAGAACCTACAGTGATATAAAGTCAGCGTCAATGTCTTCGAGGAAAAGAAGAGCAAAATGACAAACAGTCCCATGGGAGGGGAGAGTGGCTGTACCATGGCGATGCATCTCCCAAGTCCTACGAGGATCAGGCCAATGCGGAGATGGCTCTTGTCAGGGAGGAAGGCCCAGGCCAGCGCAAGCTATTCATCAGGATGTCAGCAACCGAGTCGCGCATCTCAAGGCAAGTGGCGTGCTAACCATGAGGAAAGGTGCAAGTATCCAGTTCACGAAGATGCTGAAGCATATTTGTTTCCAAATACTCCTGTGTGCGAGGAGTTTGTGTAAAGACTCGTATCGAACCTTGCATAAGATGGGGTACATCATCACTAACAAACCAACAGCTTTTGATTTGGAAAATGCGAAAATAAGCAACACTCATCGTGGGACATGAAGGCCGGTTGGACGGGGGAAGCTTTGGCATACCAATTGGTACCGATACGCCGACAAATTTGCCTCGTTGCAGCGCAGGCCCCATGTTGGGGACAAAGTTGCCCAGCATGATGCCAATGGCCATGGCCAGAAATATCCAAAGCGCAAGGAAACGGTCGAGTATTCCGAGACTCCTAAAGGCCGAGACATTTCGACGGGACGAGGCGTCGGCATCGACAGACATGTTCCCAGTGTCAGGTTGGTCATGACGACCCCTGGCAGACGTGGTCGAGGGCAAATTGGAGTCTGAAGCCAGAGAGTTTTGTGATTCTTTTTGCTCCGTGTCCATGGTGGTTTCGACACGTTGTGGTTGAAGGTTGGTAGTACGCATTGGTCTGGGAGTGGTTCTCGGATCAAGAGATCAAATACATGAAGGAATGCGGAATTGGGATGATGATATGATCTTTGGCCGCTGGCCGCACCGGCAGTCGGAAAAGCAGCCGCTGAGTGTTCAAGGGTGGATGGAAATGGGCCTCTGGGAGACTCGCCAAAGTCTGTTCGCGCGGTGAGCCTCGACCAATCAAATCCGGGGCGTGACACACTCCTGCAGTCCGCATGGCACCCTGCTGCTTTTGTGCAGGGGACTCATCGGTTTTGGAACAAAAAGGGATTCGCAATTCAACCGACGGCAATGCTGCTCAGACATGGAGCTTGCTTGTCAGAAAGCTCTCAATCCACCAACCTTTCACTGCCCGTGTCCTCTCTTGCGAATAATGCCTTCCTCAAACCAGCCTGCCGCGGCTCCCTGGCACGCTACGCCGCCTTTCCACCTCCAGGAGTAACGCGTGAAGCCGTGATTCAGATGATCAAGGGCAGCGACAATGACTGTGGGTATGGCCTCCTCCCGCGGCCAAGGCTGCCGTGTGGATGGCAAGACACAGCCTGGCAGGATTAGATTGGCATTGTATTGCTCGAGATCTTTCGCAGGAATGGCGAGGACAAATCCCAGGGGGCAGGCGCTTCCAGTTTGAGCGTCTTTGCACTTTACGCCCAACTGCTTCCCGAATCTGTGCAAGGGAGAACGGATGTATCAGCCTGGCTGAGGAGACTCGACGATACGGCCGCCAAAACGTTTCATGTAGGCGCTGGAGTTGTTACCAAGGGTTCTGATATCGTCTAATGAATGGTCAGAACGCGGTCAGAGGTCGATAAGGAATGGTTGGGCGCTTTTGCAATCCATTGGTGTGCCGATTGTTGTCTGTTCTGATCCATCTCGTCTCCCGTCACTGCCCCTTTTAGGCAGGTAAAGGATGTTTTGCGCAAACCACCTGCAACAACAAAGGAGGTCCAGCCTGCAAGCCAATGGATCTCCTCGGAACAGAGCGAGATTTCCGAATACCAAGCTGCCTTTGCTTTTACAAACTCCGTGGCAGATCCCCGGTGGCGATCAGCCTTGACGAGGATACGATTGTCTTCTCTTGAGGAGCAGGCCACCAATTTGGTGGTCGTGGAGGCAATCGACCCTGAGCGGACTGCAAACTTGCACGACTGGGAAATTGCCACGATGTCGTCAGCTCTTGCGCTCATGTCGGCGAGCTCACAGAGGCAACCGGTTCTGACCAGAGCGAGAAAGGAGCATTGTGGTTCTGACGCCGTGACTGAGCCGGATTGTTTACAACACAGCTTAGGAGAGGCTGAGCATCGGAGAATCCTCGTATTGCCCAGTCCCATTCGTTCTCACCTCGCCAGACCGGCTCCTCGCACCCCTATCAGCAACCTCAAAGTTGATCCTGGACCGGTCCTGCGTACCCTTCCTCTTTTGACAACATCTGGGGACAGCTAGAACCTTGCTGCTAGTGCAATCCGCCGGGTTCACTTTGTATGGCAGGTTGTCATTGGCATACGCACCTCCGTCATCGTCCATCTCAATAATATTAATCTGCAAGACCTCAGGGTAATCATTGTGAGGGGGATTAAGGTGGTTGGTCAAATGTGACTCCATAGTAGTCGGCTTGGCTGGTTAGTCACTGAGTCAGTTATAACCGATAATACAAGCGAAAAAAAGAAGGCAAGGGACGAGCTTGACTTGCGGCTTGCTTGAGCATCGAGTACATACTTTAAAGGCCGACCGCCTTCCATTACCCAGCCGAGGTATTGATCTCGGATGACGAGATCACCGACAATGCTTTCCGGCCGCGCTTGTCGTACGAATATCTTTTCAAACGCCAGTCTTGCGAGCAATGGCCCTGCAGGCTGCGGAAATGTATGTTTGAAAACATCAGTGTGCCATTTCGCCTCGGGCACCAGCTTCTGAATTGAGACCAAAGGTCCCTCGATCTGAATTCTCAGGGGTTTCTCCGCTGGCGGTGGGTGGTGATTATGCGCAGGGTTTCTAATGCAAGGCGGTATGTAGCGCTCTAGAGCCATCGTACAACATGAAGGACTGTTGGGCTCTGAGCTCAAATTGGCGAAGTGAAAATGCACATGAAACCGGAGATGGCTGAGATTTGTAATGTCCACGATTCGTCTGCGCATTATCCTAATTCCGTGCGCCTGCGTGGGCTGTGCCGTGCGGCAGCAAGGCTGCGACCCGAGGCGGAATGGCAGATACCAGGCCACCAATTAACTGCCTTGTTACGTGGAGCGCGACAGTGATCGTGACTGACAGACCAGCTCTAAAACGGACGGGTTGGCAGGAACTTGAAAGGACCGGCTCATAAGTAGTTTGGTGCATTGAGTACGTGAAAATTGCCGTCCATAGAGACAATTCCTGCCCAATCCCCAGGTATCTATATACCCCGGAACCTCCTGTCTTTGAGAGGGGATATAACTGGCCTTGAATAATTTGTAGCAGCGGCCAATGTTCCCACAGGGACACCGAAATATACAACATGTACATATGTATATCGTTCGCCCTTCCCTCTTGGTTGACTCGAATTCATTGAACATTTCCTAGCCCAAGTTCTCTGGCACTAGCTTCCATAATTCTTCCGTCTCGCTCGATAGCAACATCCACCGTAAGTCCCTAGACCTCGAACAGCTTGTAGATCTACACCCGTAGTGCCTTGGAGAAACGTCCGCCAACAATAAATCTTGCAGATGTGTACCTTTTCTACCGACTACTACAGTTGCGGGCATGTCTATGACACCAGGGTCGCAGGATGTCCTACCCCAACCTCTTGCGTCCCTGCCTATCGAGACGGAAACACAATTCTGGCAAATTGCAGTGCTCAAATATGTATCGCCAAAAAATGGACGTGGCCCACGTCACACTTTTGTGCAATACTCCTCCATCCTGGGACTGAGGAGTCACATGACCGATGACACCAGTCCCGACCTTGTAAAGGAAGATGATGTGGAAGAACTACTTAATAAGCTAGATATTAAGCTAAATAATATAAAGTATTATTATATTAATCTACAAATTTACTATACTTAATTATATATAACTTCTTAGAGAGCAGCTAGCTTAACTTTAAAGCTTAATAATATTATATTATTAAGTAGTTATAAGTTTATCTCTATAAAGTTTAAAAAATATTTATTTATTATTATAATATAAAGTTTATAGTATATTAAGAACTAGCTTTATAAAAAACTATATATAAGTATTACTAGTATTAACTATAGACTTAGAGAGAAAAAAGAGAAAAAGAAAAAAATTCTCTATCTTTTTTTATGCTAATATATATATAAGTTTTAGTATATATTTAATATATATTTAATAAGTTTTTAATAAGGCACTAATATAGTGCCTTATATATACTTAAGCCTACTACTTAAGTCTATTACAAGCAATATTCTATACTATAGGTAGAGAGCTATAGGCTCTAAGAGAAACTAAGAAAGTTCTAGTCTTAAATTTATAAAGTATTTTAACTATAATATAGTATTATAAAGAGTATAAGAAATATAATACATTTAAAGCTCTAGTCGTGATGCCCACAGCTTTATGCTCCTATCACTACGCCTGTGAAGATAGATATATGCCGTCTTCTCAACACGTAAAGTCCTTCGCTAGGCCGTACTGCAACGATAGCTACAGCTATTGCCGCCAATGGCCCAAGAGAAAATGACTACACTGGGGCTACGATCGCACAACTGCTACCCTCTTGCACGGAGATGTTGATAGGCATCACGGTGGCGCAAGTGAGTCAATATAAGGTGACATTGCCGTGCAAGTAGTAATAATCCTCTTTACACCTCTCTTTATTTGAAGAGGCGTCGATCTGGCTCCACAGCGCCCTCTTGTTGTCACACAATAGCAGTAGCACTAAGCTAGATATTACTTAGATAATAGTTAAAAGCCTTAAATTAATCTACAAAAGAGAGAATTATGTGCGCTCTTTAAATAAGTGCGCTTAGCTCTACGCATTAAGTGCGTATTAACTTAATTCTATGTGCGTATATATCTATTAGCTCTAGGTAGGTATGCTAGAGCGTGTAGGCATGCTATTGCTATGCAATATACCCCCTAATTAAAGCTGCATTTAAAGCTATTGCAAGCCTTAGACTCTACAAGCGTGCGCTTAATAGAGCGTTTAATTAAAGCTTTTATATGCCTACTAATACCTTTAATTTGCTTTAATTCTATTGTTTTATATAGTATAGCTATACTATTATTTAGGTAAATTAAAAGTAAGTGCTATATACTTATTAGCTAGCTGCTCTTTATATTTATATATACTTTCTAAGAGTATTAAGTATTATAAGCTCTCTTTTCTCTTTTCTCTTCTTTCTGTAACTGCCTTTATATAATTACAAGCTTATATTTTAATTATTACTATTATTATTATTATTATACCTACTAAGTTAGGTAGGTCTATTTACACTAACTGCTAGCAGCTAGTACTAGCAGATTAAGGTATATCTATATCTACTATATTTAAGGAGCAGCCTAGTAGTGCTGCTTCTACTTTTAATACTAAGGAGGCGCTAGTAACGCCTTCTTTCTCTATATATTATTATCTCTTGCAGTATACTAAGCCTGCAAGAGTATAGAGAGTAAGTTATACTTAGAAGTATTACTTTATAAGTCTTACGCACTAACTATTAGACTAAATCTCTAGAGCTAGATATACTATATAATATACTTTATAAGAAATATATTTATATAGCTATTATAAGTAAAGGCAATAAAGGTTGCTACTTTAAGGTAACTACTAGTTGCTCTAAATAATACTACTTATATAAAGCAGGCAATTATACTTACTAGCCTTAGTAAGCTTAATTTTGCTCCTCTAATTAGCTAATTACTAATTATATATATAGTTATACTATATTAGTCTTTATTGCTAAGTAGATACTATTAGCGCTAGGTGTAAATAGTAAAGTAAGCTTTTAATGCTTTATTACCTTTAATTCTACGCTTAATTCTAATACTTTAAGCTATAAATATATAATAAGTGCTATTAAGCACTTTAATTATAGCTTAATCTTTTTATAAAGTTTAACTCTATATATAAAGAGTTTATACCTAGTGTTAAAGCTAATAATACTGCTAGAGGCTTATTAGCAGCTAAAGGAAAAAAAGCTTATATAAAAGCTTTACTTAACTAAGTTATAGACTTAATTATTAAGAAGTAAGCTTTACTCTTATTATTTTATTATATATATATATTTTAATATAAGCAGCAGCTTGCTTTTGCCTATAGGTATTTTTAGCATTTAGCATTTTAGTATTACTTTATATAATTTTATTTGCCTTTTAAGTATACTTTACTTAAAAGAGGTAAGTACTTATATATTTAAGAAGTAATTAATTTAATGCCCCCTCTTAGCTATACTTTTATTTATATAATTATAATATTATAAAAGTTAGCCTTAGCTGCTTAAATTAACTAAATTAAGTAGGCCTTTAAAGTGTTTAAAATACTAGTTATTTAATGCCTTTATAAATTTATTAGTAGGCATCTTAGCTATAAGTAAATATATAACTTTAAA